GGACATCTGGTCACCCTACCCCCTTCCCACCCTACGCCCAGCCCCACTCCCTGCCCCTTGTGGCCCAGCGCTGCACCCTGTCGCCTGGTCTTAGTGTGACAGGGCGGCCTGAGGCTGGGTGCTGGGGAAAGGCTCCCCCCCCCTCAGGCTCTGGCCCTCTCTGAAGTTCCAGGTGGCAGCAACAGGTTCACCAGGAGAGCAGGAGAAACAGCATTTCCGGAATCCTGACATTTGGGAAATGTTATCCGCAGAACGGAAAGTCCGAACACATTCCATTCGGGGACCTCGAAACGTTTTGATCCTGCTGAACCCTCATCATGTAACGTAACATATGAAATACGTCATATGCACAGATGCTATATAGACCATTGCAATCAGAAATGGGTACAAGAAAAACCATAATCAAATACATTCAAGTGCTTAACTTAACAAACTATATTAGATTTAAAGCAAAGTTTCTCACCACATGCTTCCAACAGCATTACTGACCAAACTCCAAGTCAGGACCCCTCCCGCAGAGTCTAATGGCTGCTTCTTTTGTTTTCTTAAGCGCAAGGAATGAGATGGACGGGTGGGGGAGGGGAGAGAGGGTCCCTTGGGGTGTTTGTCTCTCGTTTTAATAATTTCAGTCCCCTCTTGAAAAATGCCCATGACACAAAGGAGCTGGGGATGAGGGGTTTGGGGTGTGGGAGAGGCTCAGGGCTGGGGCCGAGCATTGGGGTGCACGGGTGAGGGCTGCGGGGTGGGGCCAGGAATGAGTGGTTCAGGGTGTGGAAAGGGGCGCTGGGCTGGGGCAAGGGGTTGGGGTGCAGGAGGGAGTGAGGGCTCTGAGCTGGGGGTGCAAGCTCTCAGGTGGGGCCTGGGTGAGGGGTTTGGGGTGCAGGAAAGGGTTCCGGGTTTTGTGGGGGGGGCTCAGGGCTGGGATTGGGGAATGGGGTTGCGGCGTGGGCTTACCTCGGGCGGCTCCCGGTCAGCAGCGCAGCGGAGGTGCTAAGCAGGCTTCCTGCCTCTCCTGGCACCGCGAACTGCGCTGCGCCCCGGAAGCGGCCAGCACCAGGTCCGGCTCCTTGGCGGAGGCACTCAAGCAGCTCCACGTGGCTCTCACCCACAAGCACTGACATACACACCCCCAGCGCCCATTGGCTGGGAACCAGCCAATGGGAGTGCGGAGCCGGTGCTTGGGATGGGGGCAGCGTGTGGAGCCCTGTGGCCCCCCCCACTCCACCCACCTAGGAGCCAGACCTGCTGCTGGCCACTTCTGGGGCACAGGGTGGTGTCAGAAGAGGTAGGAACTAGCCCACCTTAGCTGGGCAGCACCGCCGACGGCACTTTTAACAGCCCGGTCGGCAGTGCTGACCTGAGCCGCCGTAACCCGCAGTTTGAAAAACACTGCACTAGGCGATCTGGAGACTATGCAGTACCAGCAGAGAGCTATGCAGTCTAAGTCCCCTAGTGGATCTGCAGGGTATACCAACAAGAGGAGTTCTTTTGCTGCTATCGTTAAGCTCCCAAACGACAAGAGTGGTCTACGTGGGATGGGTGGCCAGCATGACTACAACAATTGGGATGTGAATTTTTTTCACACTCATAGCTATGCTGGCAAAACTGTTTAGTGTAGACCTAGACCCAGCCTTAGGCTCCTAAATCATTTAAGTGCTTTTGAAAATGTTACCCCCAGGTCTAATTGACTGCAGCTAAATCGATCTGAGGAATATTTATATCGGTTTAAGGGTGTCCACTCAGCCTCATGCACTGGGTTAACAAAACATAGTTTTCATTACACCTTGTTAAAACAGTACAATTTTGCATGTCTCTTCCCCTCTTTCTCTCTCTATCCCCGTCTTCCGTTTTCCACATTCCTGTCGTTCTTTCTCTGTGCTCCCTCTGTCCACCGCCTTTTAGCTTCGCTACCAAAGGCTGTGGCATTATAATTCAGCTGGTTTTGATTAAGCAGCATCATAAAAATAGGTCCATCATTTTTATTTACAATGGAAAAGCCCTTTCCTGGCCTCCCATCCCTCCCCCCCACCCATTCAAAAATGGGTTTTCCTCAACTTTGCAGGAGAACCCACACCCCAGAGTGATGTAGCTGTGCTGATCTATCTTCCCACCCAATGACACAATATTACACCTCTCGCCTGCCTCAGGTATACTACTAATGTTACATATGCCTCGTGTTATCCCATTGGTTTCCATTAGCTGGCTCCAGTCAGCCTGATTCAGAGAAAGGTGGAGGGAGTCAGGGCTTGCAAAAATGTTTTTCTTCTCTGTTACTCTGTGTGTCCCTACAAGGTCTGTTGATTGGTACAGTATTACTTGTGGTGAGGGGGACAATGGGGCTCACCTCCCAGGTACTGTGGACATTATTATCACTGGTGGATGTATAGGGCCTTCGTTTTCAATGTTTATTTTATTTATTTTTTCCTGGGAATTGATCAGTGTTTATTACCACAACAACAAAACCAGGTGAAACTCAGTGCAAAAAACTTCTAATAATTTTTCTGGGTAAATATCGGGGTTTATTTTGGTGGTCTGAAAGACGGGGCGGGAGGGGGGAAGTATTCAGTAGATTAATGCTTTGAATTCCATTCATCAATTTGGTTTGCTGCAGAACTAAAACACAAGGCCACCTCTGAGTTTAAGAAAACAATATATTTCTAATCCCCAAATGAAACTTTTCGTTTGAATAAACGGTTCACTGGTGTAGACTTAGAACTATTAGCCTATAAATATTTACAGTAAAAGTATTTTTATCCAGCATGTTGGGGGAATGGGGGGTGCCGGTATATGAAAAATACTGGTTAACTAAGAGGGAGGGAGTTTGGGTGCGGGAGGGGGCACAGGGCTCGGGGTTGGGGTGCGGGCTCAGGGAGGGAGTTTGGATATGGGAGGGGGCTAGGGGTGCGGGAGAGGTTTTGGGGTGCCGGATCTGGAGGCGATCAGCTTGGGCGGCTCCCTGCAAGCAGCAACCTGTCCCTGCTGCTCCTAGGTGGACATGCGGCAAGCAGGTCTGCACGCTGCCCCTGCCCACCTCGAGCACAGGGTTGGCTCTAGGCACCAGCAAAACAAGCACGTGCTTGGGGCAGCCCATTTGCAGGAGCGGCAGGGAGCCAGCCTGGCAGCTGAGAACCAACAGGGGGCCCTGGGATCTGTAATTCCTTGGTTAGCTCCCTGCCTATAGAGCCAGCCCTGGAGCAGGGAAAGAACTACATTTCCCAGCATTCCCTTGGCCACTACCAACAGGAAAGAGGGAGAGGGAGTGAGGAAGCTGAGACCTCATGCTGCAGCCTGCTGTGAATGGAGAGCTGCACTGGGAAGGGCAGGGATACCATATTTTAACATTCAAAAAATAGGACACTCCACGGGGAGGGAGGGTAGCCCCACCCTGCCACCATCCACTCCCTCCGACTGCCCCCCACAGAAACCCCAACCCATCCAACCCCCCTGCTCCCTGTCCCCTGATCACCCCCTCCTGGGACCCCTGCCCCTATCTAGGCCCCACTGGTCCTTGTACTCAACTTCCTCCTTCCTGAGACCCCCCCCCAACTTCCCCCCTAGGATCTCACCCCCTAC